CCCTCTCTCTCTCTCTCTCTCTCTCTCTCTCTCTCTCTCTCTCTCTCTCTCTCTCTCTCTCTCTCTCTCTCTCTCTCTTCGAGCGTGCTGGAGCGACGGTGCAATATTGATTCCACGTTGTGGGTTTATGAATAAAATAAGCGGTTTATCCGATAGCGGTGTGTAGGGTGGTATACGATGTACAGAGGGTCCGGGGCGTGCGGACGAGTGGCATGGTCTCACGGGATCACGTAAAGTGGCGTTACCCATGGTGAGTAGATAGCCAGTTACGCTTACATATATAGGTATTGTAGTGTGCACACACATATACGTATATATCGGGTTAGATAGTTACACATATTATTATAGGGTGTTTCGGAAGGAATACATTTTCTCTCCTATAATTACCTATAAACTATTTGAAACGGACTCGAAGGCAATGTCTCTTCAGCGTATGGACCTCACGGTACGATTAATTACTGAATCATTGGACATTGAGAATTGAAGTGCAAATAGATAAGAAATGATTATAAATCAGGTGTTAATTTAAAAAATCTTAATTAAAAGTTTAATAAATGAGATGTTTAATAGTAAAAATTGAAACATTACCATAATTTATCTTATACTAATTTATACCAATTTACTAATCTAGTCAATTTTTGTTATGAAATGATTTCGAATATATCGAAGAGTATTTAGCTAGAAAAAAATGTACAATTCTTAATACATGTGCATACATATATGTATAAGCGTGCTTTTTCTTAAAATAGTCATAAGTAATACATATTTTCCAGGGAATGGAAAATTATTTTTTAAAAGTAACAAGTTACAGTTACTCGTTACAGAGTAAAAAAAGTAACGAGTTACCGTTAATAGTTTATCGCTTCTTAAAAGTAACTCGTTACCGTTACCGTTACTCGAAAGGTAACTTTTCGTTACTTTTAATAATTCAAAAAGTAAGCGAAGATAGAAGTGCAAAATAATGATACTGTATATATTTATCAGTTGTCAAAGATCACTTCAGGATCGCTACAGCAGTTGACAGCTAAAATATTTCAGGAATTTTTTTATACTTTGTAGAAAACTAGAAGATTATATAGAGGATTGTATAGGATTCAATCACAATATAAGTTAGAAATTAAAAGGAAAATTAAGAAATACACATAATCTCTTTATTATAATACAGCTACATTTTGACTCAATCTATACTTTTAGCTGTAAATCAAATATTTAGGTAGAAAGAAAATTATAACGCTATAATTAAAATGTATAACAGAAGTTTTGCAAAAAGAGGTGTTTTCCAATTGCTCAACATAAATGTACACAGAAATGTACAGAGTAAAGCTTTTTACACAGCTCAATTAGAACAAATGTGTACGATGTTTAGATTAAGTTAAACTAAATGTAACTTGTACGCCTATATTAAATAAAAACTCTCAACGTCCTACAACCACATTTATAGCTGTCGTAATTAATAACATGTAATTCTTATATAACAGAATAACGTGTCCAATCGTATGCATAGTAACGTAAAAGTAACTGTAAATTTTGTTACCGTTATCCAAAAAATGTAACTACGTTACGTTTACCAAAAAGGAAAGTAACGCAGTTATCAGTAAAGTTATCAAAAAAGTAACTTGTAACTGTAACTTCGTTACAAGTAATGAGTTACTTCCATTCCCTGATTAATACATAGATACATATATGTTCATATAGTTATAAATCTGTACTAATATATGGATATACGATTTCGTCAATGAGTTCACAGCACAATCGTACGACAGAACGTTTTGTGATAAAAACGCATTTTGCACACATCTTGTGATTGAAATACGTTCCATGCCTTTGGTCACTTTCTATCACTTTTCGGTGCACCCATGCGTTGACCTTTACTACTATACTACCGTCGACGTTCTTGCTGCGCGGGACCCTATGTCAAGATGACCTAACGTGGTCCTTTGGGATGTCCTTACGGGCTTAGTACTGCTGTATACAGGTGCTTGATAAGTAATGAAAAATTCTGTCGCATAGGGGTAAAATGGACTAAACTGAGAAAAAAAGTCCTCTATCCTTTTACAATTTTCGCAATAGTTAATAGGACATTTTTATAAATTAATATCTCGTTAACTATTGCAAAAATTATAAAAGGGTAGAGGACTTTTCTTCCTAGTTTAGTCCATTCTACCCCTATGCGATAAAATTTTTCATTACTTGTCAAACACTCTATATATTCGTAGGATAAACAGTTATAACCTATTTTCGCCCTATATATCGATATAAACGTTATTTCCTACTTCGATTCAGCTGTTCTTAACACGCGATTACTGTTTTCTAATAATGCTTCTATATTCTGGCTTCACAATTTTTGGAAAACACTATTCGCCTCATTTTGAATCATTATCGTATAACCAGCCCAATTTACTTTCGGCACATATATAACGAAGTTCAATTACGAAGGCGTAAAAGCGTTTCTTGAGTTTTCACTGATAATCCTTGCTTTTACTCTCCAGATCTGCACTACCGTTCTCTTCTTCCAGAAACAGATACTTCGAAAGCAGTCCCTAAGGTGCGCCCTTACCTCCTTACCAACGGATAGCTTACTGCACCCTGGGTGAAAAACTCTTCGTGTCCAGGGATCGATTCTTTCTCATTTTATGGCAACCAGGGACTTATTTCAGTTGCGCATTATGTTGCTACCAATTTTCACAGCAGCATCAAGATCTTGCACCCTTGATAGTTAACTGTCTATCTGTATTTGCAACGAATAATATTTGAAGGTGGGAAATAATATTTAAAGATTGATTTTTGCAACAACTTGATAATGACTAGGTGCATAACAATTAAAATGTTAACAATCAAATTAAAATTATTAGTACCGTCAATGCTTTTGTTATATATATATATATATATATATGTATGAAAAGCAAAATTGATTAATAAGAAATATGATGAAATATAGTTCGGATATTGTCAAAATGTCTCATATGTTTGGTAATATTACCAATCATAAAATTAACTGGATTGCAGCAAACTTGATTATAACGTGTTGTATTATTAATATATATATTATCTGTCATTCTCTCGTTTTATATCGTACTATTAATTTGCATTAGATTGTTGATTCATGAGCGTAATTACCATTTTCACGAGCTATTAATCATCTAATCATCATATGTAAATCGTCGAATTAAATACGCTTCATCCTGGTGTCATTACACAAATGCACAATGATTCATGAGAGGTGTACATGAAAATTATGCACCATAATATTTATGTGCATTATTTAAAGAGCCATTTGTGAGATAACTAATTATTATTTTATATAATTCTAATTACAAAAAAAGTTTCGAAAGGTTAGAAGAGATGATTTATGTCATTGTGAGATATACCATTGTGAATATCTACGTGCTTTTTCAACATTATTTCCTATTTCTTTTATTTTTCACCCTTTGTTCCTGCGCGTACCTATTTTACTGCATGCCCATAAAGATCAAATGTTAAGCAACGATTATGAGTACTATTAACCTGTAATAGCTCAAGGAATGCTAGAAATGTTCTTGTGCTCGCACAAGAATATGCATATTTAATGTTACATTATATTGTTATGCACAGAGAATTATAAACAATAATTTGTAAATTTTATGACTGTTTCTAAAAATTAAAAAAATATACAATGTTAATACTATAAATACCGTTAATGTACCATAAGAACATAAACTATAATAATACAAATGCGAAGTCTATAACAGTCTAGCTTGGATCTTTAATTGCTTACATATAAACTACCGCTACTATCATGAATTAAAACAAATTAATAATTAACTAATATACGTAGTCCTCCCAAATTGCGCGCCAAACAATCGTCGGTCACGAAACACAACTCTAATCATCTGAAAATACTAAATCTGGAAATAATTATTTAAAAAATATAATATGTGATCATAAATTAATATACAATTAAATATTTTTATCTTATGAAATAATCTGAAACAGAAAGTTGATAATCGGGATAAACCA